AGATGGACGAGCATAGGATGTTTTCCTCGATTGCAGTTTGCATCAAACATCGATAGAACAGAACACCCACAGGCACACTGAAAAAAACACATCAAGATTTCAATTTTATTATAAATAAATAATATTTTTTACAACCACCACTGGTTTCTACTGAGATTTTTTGTGACTGACAACCATAAAGCAGCAGACATCTGTGCAGTGGAAGGAACATGATCTTATTCTTATAAACAAGTGCAGAGTTGTCAGACTTTTTTATTGCTTTTTTCATCCACTGAGACAACCTAAAGGAACCATTCACTGTAATAACCCTTGCAACTGTTTCGGATGACATCTTTGCAAAGGTTGCACATTTCCAACCTTTCCTCTGCATCTTTTTATCCTTGCAGTCTCATTGTCATAAAACGGGGACAGACGGACCCAGTATTCAAGGAGAGACAGTCAGTAGGAAAGTTCAAAAAGGTTTATTAAATTAACAAAAGCTAAAGCGGAGCTGTGGCTCGCAGACACTGCAGGATGGGGAGCGAGGTACCGCCCAATCACAGACACTCTGCAGGAGAAACACAGGTAAGTGACCACGATCATCTGACAGAAGATGATCATCTGAGTTGGCCACTTACCTGGTTTAACAGTCCAGTCTTAGAATGTCCCCAAGAGCTGCAGTCCCAGAGGACATGCTGGAAGCTGATCCTGGTCAGGGATCCAGAACAGACAGGAACAGAAACAGGTGGTCACACACAGGAGCAGACAGATGAGCAGGCTCAGTGGAAAAGGGTAGCAGAGACAGGACGTGGAACCAGAACTTGCTGCAGGACCTTTAAACTGGTCTCCACCTTGGAGCCAGGCTTACTTGGATAAAAACTGAACCTCCCCCCGTACAGAGCCAAAAACCCAGAGGACTCAGCGGGGGAGGGACAGTGGACGATCAGGAGACGAGACAAACACAAAAACCCTCTTTCTGTTGGGAGCTGGCTGCCAGGATCCAGGACATGAACCGGAAAATCAACTGAACAGACAGGCTAACAGAAAGACAAGTAATGATCTGGAACTGAATGCTCAGGTTGAACTGAATATAAACCAGAGGAAACAGGTGAGAGGAATAAATTATAATTGAGGCAGGGAGGGAAAACGACAGGTGAAAGGAATGACTAATAAAGGAGGAGCAAACAGGCCAGATCATGACACTCATGGCAAATGGGAAAGTTCTCTTACCAGTTCGATTGTTAGAGAAAACAACCCAAAAGTCTGTCAAGCAGTATTAAACATCTGCATCCGATAAAGTAGGTTAATAAAATAGGTATATTGAGGTTTGTTAATAGGAATTAAAATAGATATATTAACAATATTTTTAAGTAAAAAAAAATAAAAAATACAAATCTTGTGTTATTAAGGAATCTGCGGCTTCATGCACAATATAAGGTGCCTTTTTTTTCTACTTGAGCCCCTGGCTGCAAAAATGTCTGTGCACGTCACTGGTTGGGTCACAAGGTGCTTCAGGCTTTTTTTTCTTCCCTACATTAGTTCCTTTGTGCCCTAACATTCAGAATGATTCCTTTCACTCACCCTTTGCTGCTGTTTTAGTTTTCATATTAATCTGAACATTTCCTACCAATGCAGTACAATAAAGTTCAGTTTATAACAGTATAGGCCTGCATACACTCTTTATATTAATGTGTAATCAGTGTGAATATATAGATCCCAATACATTTGTAATATTATAACTTAAAGCATTATTTCAGAGCTCAGGCTGCGGGTGTGTTTTGATGTGTGTGAAACTGAGATCAAGGTTTAAAACTCTCGGACAGCAGCTCAGTTCATCTGCTTGCTCAGCAAGAGCTATTTTAAATTACCAAGAAACAAAGAAGCAGCATCTCCTTTCATGCTTGTGCGCATGTTGTTCTGCCGCCGAATGGGAAGCCAGGTCGCCCTGTGCTGCTAAGTTTAGGCTTCACCTCCAGTAATGAACAAACCAGCCCCCTTCAGCTGCCCTTCACTGTTTTTCTTCGTTTTCTAGATGAAAACTAGAGTTTTGTGCTTGCAGTGTTTCATTTGGTACAGACGCACAGAGGAAGGCTGCGATAACATCACAAAACAAATAAGATGCGGAAAGATTGCAGCCACACTCAGCTTAGCAATACCTGGAATGATGTATCGGTTCAGACTGCAGAGGAAATTATGACTTACAGATCAGCAGACCAAACTATTAGTTGGTTTGTTTTAATATGTCAATAAGGGACGCTGTGAATTCTGCATTTAAATTTTAACACATGTAGTGTTGCATCAGCAAGTTATTTGTCTTTTTGTGTTTTCTGCTTGGGCCCCATTTCATAAAGCAGGGTTAGTTGTAATCCAGAGTAAGCACATAACCTCGCCTTCAGTTTCAGAAAGATAGGAAGGTTTTAATTTTAATAAATCTCTTTTCCTACTTTTGTCAAAAATGACATTTCGTGAAAAAAGTTGTTGAGGTTAGAGGGCAAATACTCTCAAGGCAAGGCACATATATTTGTATAGCACTACAAAGACAATGCAAAGTGCTTTACTAGATTAAAATACAGGAAAATAAAACAGAATCAAAGCAAGTAGGGAAAAAAAATGCAGAAACAAAAAAGGATATTAAAAACAGTTGGACTAAAGAAAATAAAAAAATTAAACTAAACTCAAGATATCTCTGTTAAAGATTACCGTAGCTGTCTTATCTTTTCCAGAGTAATATCTCTCCTGATTTGAAAATATTCAGCAATAACTATGTTAGATCCTTATGGGAACATTTTATAATTTCTAATAGTTGTAGTATAAAATATTAGCAATGTGAAGATGACGTGCTACAGTTTACACCAATCATTAATAGCTGGCTCTTATGTTTGAACCCAGATACATATTCAATGCACATACAAAAATGATGAAATAATGTAAAAAGAAAAATAGTAAAAAGAAATTTATGTTATTTAACACATCTTTTTAAATTGTTTGGACTTTTCTCACATATTTAGTTGCAACTTTTAAATCTAAATTCTATATGTATATATCTCTCTAAATCTAGTTCTACATCATATATCTATATATGATAGTCTTACATCTAATAAATATATCTTGAATAATAATATATATGTTGAATATAAATCTTGAATTTAAATATACTTTCTGCATGGAGTTTCCATGTTCTCCCTGTGCATGCGTGGGTTCTCTCCGGATACTCCGGCTTCCTTCCACGGTCCAAAAACATGATTGTTAGGATAATTGGTTTTTCTAAATTGTCATTGGTGACTGGTGACCTGTCCAGGTTATACCCCGCCTCTCTCCCATTAACAGCTGAGGGGAGCCAAGGGGTGTTGGAGAGGCTCCAGCGACCCTCAGAACCCCAGTAATAATAAGTGTGATGGAAAATTAATGGATTTAAATATAGATTTTATATTAAAACTTTGATCTCAGACAAATTTTAAAGATATACAATAACCATGGACTTTTAACAGCTCTGTTCATGGCCATGCCACCCAGGGAACAGGAAACAACAAGGAAAGGGGGTATCCTTTGAAGAATTCATCCCTCCTTTGGAGGAGCAAGTACTTGGTCACCTCTGAAGAGCCTGATAGGTATTTGCCAAAACCAAAGATTGAACCAGGGACCTTTAATTCTTCAGTGGGACGCTCTCCCAACTGAGCTATTTCGGCACTTTTCTCTAACTCTTACTCCACATTCCGTATGCCATGGGGGTTTTTGCCACAAATGGAGTTGTTGGAGGCCTCTGTCCTGCTGTTATGGTGAACCACGTTATCTACATTCCATTGAAGGGGACTTTTTATTGCTCTTTCTCCCGCTTCACTCTAAGTAGATCAGATGTAAAGCTTAATATCATCTGTTCTACAAAAATTAAAACTTTGGCTGTGTCCTAACATCTGTCCTAACCCCTAGATCCCTCAATCGCTATATAGGGTGAGGATTAAATAGTGGCCTTTATAGTGAGCTCAGTTAACTGGCCGTTTGGACAGATAATCACTACTTCTTGCTCCCTGTTGGTCCTGTAACTCCGCCTCTCTGCACGATGCATACAACATCTATAAAAAAATCCCAAGATGCGTTCAGGCTAAGCTTTTGGCTCAATATGAATACCTCAAATTATAGCTCCTACTTCCTGTTTCTGGCTAATATCTCTTTACATTTCCTGGGGCCAACAGTAAGAACTCTCTCCAGGGTGGGAATGGAGCCTCGGTCTGCTGAGCTGACTCCTGACAGCAATTTCCCTGAAAAAGAAATCTGCAAATATATATATATATATACACACACAGATTTATGGAGAACATAGGAAGAGGAGACTCTCTTTTTTGTGTAAACCTTCTGTTTTTGTTATGAAGGTTTTGCAGAGACAAACAATGTTTGTTTAGAGATTGTTCATGATTCTCTTTTATCTAAACTGAGACATGCATATTATTTCACATCATTGTATTATGCAAACAGGAGACGAAAAATTTATATTAGCTTCACGAATTGGTTGAAAGTTGGCAGCACATATGGGAGATCGGTTTGACTGGTGTCAAAATAACCCGTTTCTCCATCAGCCTCAGAAAAACCGCATTAGTCAATCTCTGGTTACCATGGAGACTGAACACAAATCAGTGTACAGACCATGTTAACCTGCTCTCTGGTGCAGTTTGAGCTTTTGCATCTGATGAGGGTAAAAAACACAAAAGCTATTTGTTGTATTTCTTGTAAAATTTTCAAAATAAAATAAAAATCAGGTTACTTTTATGTCTTCTTGTCAATGCAGCATGTAAACACAACTCCATCTGCATTTATGAATAGAAAACTGAGCTAAAATCAAACAGATAAAAAAAACTTAAAACGTTTGTGCTGCACTGACACCTTGTGGCTGATTCTCGTATCCCCCAGTGTTTGACATTGAAGTTCTGCATTAGTGATATTTCAAATCCTGGATCCTGGCTGTGGAGCAGCGCCTCCAACAAATATAGAACGGGCCACAAACAGGCACGCTCACATATTGGGCAGTGATTGTGCAAGACCAGTCTGCTTTTCAGTCTGTCGTGCATTGTAGAGAGAACTCACATGACAGTCAGGGGCATGACAGGCATCCAGATCACTTGGGGTAAGAGTTTAAATCAGAGGCGGCCAGCTGCTACCTCTTACCACCCAGACCTTGTTGGGAGAGCCACTGCTGACACTTGTAGTCCCAAAACCGGATTATCTGAGCAGTTCAGCGACAGGAGGTGGATTCCCTCTGATTGTATGTATTACCACCTTTCCTTCATTTCAGCTGATGTCTCTTGGCACAGATGGGGACTTATTTTAAAGGTTTGGGAGGAAATAGGAGCTTGTTAAGACAGTGATCACAGAAAAACCAGGCCATCTAGAAATTTGCCATGATCTGTAGGTGTAAGGTAGAATACATTATGATTTTTCAAATTAATTAACAGTTCCAGCTTTCAAAAGGCTGCAAAAGATCATTCAGAACAGCCTGTTTATGGAGATGAATCATTATGATATGCAAAAATATTTCAAAAATTCCCATTTCAGATACAAATAGATGCAGAATATGTTCCTCTTTATTTTGTGCAGCAAAATGTTGTGGTTTTAGCAGCGGAAACGCATTTAAATGTAAAATAATTTTTAAAATGCCCGTCATAGCACTGGGTGGCTCAGGTGGCAGAGCAGGCCGATCATTTGCAGAGGTTATAGAGCAGCTTCTTCAATTCCAGCCTCGAGGTCTGGTGTCCTGCACATTTTAGATGTGTCTGCTTCCCCATCTGAATCAAATTGCAGAATTACCTCCACAGCATGTAGTCATGTTCTAAAAAAGTCCTCCTAATGACTAGATTATTTGATTCAGATGCTTTAGGGCAGAGAAACGCCTAAAAGGTGCAGGACAGCAGACCAGGATGGAACTGAGGAGGCATGCAGACCGTGAAGGGGTCGAGCTTGGTTTGACTCCTGGTCTCAGTCCAGTTGGTGCATTTCTTTCCCTCTTCTTCTGGAGCCCAAAACATATAGATGTGTAGATTGGCAATAACAGTTCACCCAGATTTAGTAATTAGATGGATTCCACAAGGGTGCATTGATTTAAAAGGTATAGAGAGAATGTAAAATACATTTACTTTATCAATTAAATGATAGTAAAAATAAGTATACAACAAAAAGTGTTTTGTTCATCGCTTTCTTTCTTTCTTGAAACAGTATGCTCCTTCATGCGGTATCGTAATTCAACATGGAGAGACTCCCAGAGAAAAAATAAGATTTATCTATAAAGGTATTTTTAAGTCATATTCTTAAAAATGTTTTTAATTTAGGAAAACCAGCTGATTGCAGTGACTCATTGACTCTCTACAATCTCTGGCACTGAGCAAGCATGTAGTGAAAGTGG